AAAAAAAGTCAAGAGAGAGAAGACCCAGCAGCAGCTGAAAAGGAGAAAACAAAAATTGAACACATGCAAAACCTTACTGAGGAAGAGGGAAGAGCTAAGCTTCAGGCAAGCAGCAAAACCATTATCAACAAAGCTGTTAAGAACAAATAACCATGTTTGTAGAAGTACTGTCACAGCAGTGCTTTCATGATGGATGAGGATGATGGGACATACAAGAGAGATTTCAGTATACCTACTCTGGAGGATCTTTTCAACAAAACCATTCTTCCTAAAGTCAAACAGGTCAAGAACTTTAGATAAGGGCCAGCCAGATAGTTCAGCGGACTAAAGCACCTGCTTAGGAAGAGCACAGAAGCCAGGGTTCGATCCTCAGTGTGCCATGCCAGCCTGCCCCCAGGGCACACCGAGATGGCAATTGAGACTGGGCATGGTGGCATGTACCTATCATCCCAGCGTTTGGGAGGCTTGAAAACAGAAGAATCACAAGTCATATCTACATTGTGAGACCCTGTAGACTGTATCAAAAACATTAAAAAAAAAAAAAAAACTTTGAGTGTTCTGATAGTACCAAACATACCCACTTTGTGGACCAAGACAGTACCTCCTCAGCATGGGGCCAAGAGAGTGCTCAGAACACAAAGTTTTTTAACCAAAAGTACAAGATGTATTGAAGTGCGGAGTAGCTGCTCACCAAGAAGTCAAAAATTATCTAGGATTCACCTACCTATTCCGACTATGGCACTGGGGAAATAGCTGGGGAGTCTAAGCATCTGTCTGGCAAGTGCAAGGCCCCAAGTTTGATCCCTGATACCACAGGCTGTGCTAGCTCTGGAACCTTGGGTGTGCCATGCCCTCCAAAAATGGGCGTAGTGGTACATGCCTGTGATTCTGGTGCTGGGGAGGCTCAGACAGGAGGATCACTACGAGTCCAAACTGTGAAGTGACACCCTATATCAAATATATAAATTGGGCCAGCGATATAGCTCAGCGTCTAAAGTGCCTGCTTAGGTAAGCTTAGGGAGGTGCAGGGACTAAGGTTGGATCCTTGGCATCACATGCTGCACCAGCTTCAGCCCCAGGGCGGGCTGAGCTGGCCACAAAAATAAATAAATAAATAAACTCTTTCCAACTATGGGACACAAAGGTTATTCTCAGTGTCTGGTCCTTGATTTTCTTTTTCCATTACTTACATGGTACCTTTATTTAGCCTCCTGGTCATACTGTCATACTTATGTTCTTGGCTAGCCTTGTCTTTGAAGGTGGTTTGACATTTGGGCTTATACTGAAAAGCACACACAAAACAAAACAAAACAAAAGCACTATCCAGATAGGATCAGAGGCACTTAAAACCATTCTGAAAAATTTTTGGTTTCTCTGCTGTGGCTTCCCATGTTTATTTGGGACTGTTCTGAGTTTCTTTTTCTAGCTTCTTAGCTTGGGTCAGAAACATGGGAATGGAAGTGGACAATGTGCTAGTTCTACCTTAAGGATAGAAGGAATATACCAGGAAATTCAACCTTCCTGAAAACTGTTGTGCATTTTTGGTTGGGATCAACTTTTCTAGGTGAACCTATTTTTTGATCCATTTATGTGTGTGCCAATGAATGAAAGGATTACACATTTTTTTTTAAATTTAAAAAGGAAGGAGGGCTGGTGAGATGGCTCAGTGGTCTAAAGCACCTACTTAGAACAAGCTTAGCAAAGCACAGGGACTACGGTTCAATCCCCCAGCACCACATGCCAGCCAGCCCCGCCCCCTGGTGGGCTGAGCTGGCCACACACAAACACACACACA